ATATATATTCTGCTCAGTGCCCTGAGACGACTTCTGTTGTGACTTGGCTCTACTTAAATAAACTGAATTGACAGTTGCTGACTGTTCCTTCTTTCAACCACCAGGAGTCGCCAAAGCCTCAATTCATCTGAATCTGACCAGATGTTTTTTTTTTTATGACTTGCATACATTCATTTTTTTTAAAAGTATGAATAAGTTAGTTAAGTTAATCTTTGTGCTAAAATTATGTAGTGCATTAGCAAAACGCCTACAATATAAAAAAAAGTACAAAATGTGATGAAAAAGTGCAGAAGCTGTTGCTGGCCTGAACTACTTTTGGTTGCAGTGTTACAAAGTAACCACTAGGGGCGCTACAGTTACGTTTTCTTTAAACTCGACTAATTTTGAGACTTATGAATAAATTGGCTAATTATTCTTAACTTAGCTAGCGTATTAGCTAAACGACTACGAATGCAAATATGGAGAAATACGGGGATTTGTTGTTTTGAAACATGTGACCAAACGATTTCAGTGACGTTTATTTAGAGCAGTAAGTTTTTCCTCCACATCACTGATTGATTAGCCAGTCACTGCACAGCAGACATAAAGGGGCCGAAGCCTTGAGGACACACAGCAGCAACACTTAAGGGACAAAACCACCAAAATGTCCTATAAAACGTCCTCGTTGGTGCCGGGGGACGTGGACAACCTGCGAAGAAGATCAGTGGCTGAATCTACAGGTAATTTCTAACTTGGCACATGCATTTCTCCTTATTTCCCTTAAAAAACAAACAAAAAATTAAATGAGTTTTGCTGTGATTTCTTGTCTTCGTCGTGCTCATTAAAACCACCTGCGCTGCGAGGTTTTCTACCATGACAGCTAAAATTTAATTACAAAAATAAACATGCAAAGACTTAACTAATTTCTTAAATCCATTTATTTTATTTAAAAAATTAAAAAAAAGAGTTGTTGAAACCAGTTTACACCGAATTTAGGGATTGTGTTTGGTTAACTAAACTCAAACTATATAATAAAAGTTAGCATTTAACAATGTGATGAACTATACTAATTTAAATCTTTTGTTTCTTGCTACATAGCTGCTGCAAGATCAAATTTCTTCGATTTTTGTTAACTGAGATTACACTCAGTTCAGATTTATTGCTTCCCACCCCCCACACACAACCAGGTTTTTATCAGGAGAAAGAAATGTTGTTCATTGACAATATGTTGTGTAACCAGCATGTCTGTGTTTGTACCTTCAATCTAATCCCTTTGTGTGTTACAATGCATCAGTAATGTAATCAGTCAGGGACACTGCATGACTCTCACGAGGTTTCTGATGGTTTCACATCATCATCATCATCCACATCCATCAACTTTTATTTATAAAACGCTTTAGCCACACCGCTGAAACAAAGTGCTGAGCATCACTAAGATGATAAAAGAAAGCATAAAAATAATGTGACAAAGCTAAACGCACAATAATGACTCGCACAATTAAACGGATAAAATTCATACCAATAAAAATGAAGTAAAATCAAGTCTCAGTTGGGTTGAAGGCCAATGAGTAAAGATGCGTTTTCAGAGAGTGAAGGGGCCTGTCGAGTCTGCAAAGGCAGAGCGTTCATAACTTAGGGGCACTAACAGAGAAGGCCCTGTCTCCTCTAAAAGCTTTCTCTTACTCTTGGGAATGACCAGAAGCAGCTGGTCAGCAGACCTGAGTGACCGAGGGAGAGTGTAGCTCTGTTGGATAAGGCGGGGCAAGGCTGTTTTAAAACCTTACAAACTGAACAAAATTTTAAAATGAACTCTAAAATACACGGGCAGTCAGTGGAGAGAAGCCAGTACAGGTGTGATGTGCTCTCTCTTTTACGTGTTCCTGTTAAAAGACGTGCAGCAGCATTTTGCACCAGCTGCAGATGTGTAAGTGAGGACTGGCTGACTCCGAGATAGAGAGAATTGCAGTAATCCAGCTGTGATGAAAAGAAATCATGGATTACTGTTTAAAACTGTTGCCTTGAAAGAATAGATTTTACCTTTTGCTAATTTTCTGAAATGATAAAAACCAGACTTGACTGTGGCTCTTATTTGACTGTCGAGTTTTAAAATCACTGTCTATTTTAAAACCAAGGTTTGTAACTGGACTTTACATACATTGTCAGGGGGTCTAAGCCAACTGGAGGGCTCGGACATGCACTAGGTCTAAAAACAAGTACCTCAGTCCTTTTTTTTTTTTTTTTTCCATTATAATGCAGAAAACTTGGGGCCATCCAAGCTTTAAAATCCTTGAGACACGATAAGAGGTTTAATGGACCAAGCATCGACTTGCCATAAAGGTGCATAGATTTGGCAATCATCAGCGTAGAGTGAAAGGAGATGCCATGTTTTCTAAAAAAAAATAATAATAATTCTAGCTGAAAAAAAATTAAATGCCCTAAAATTGAGCCTAGGGGAACCCCACATGACAGAGGAGCAGAAAAGGATTCACACCCTGCAATTTTTACAGAAAATGTTCTGTCAACCACTCCAGAGCAGTCCCACCGATGCCTACTTGGTGCTGTAGACGTGACGATAAATGCTGTGGTCCACTGTGTCAAAAGCAGCAGTTAACAAGGAGCAGTCACCCTCCACGTGTCAAATGTGATGCGCTGTAGATCTTCTCAATCTTCAACTTGATTTTTGTCCTCCATTTTTAGATACCTGTTGTGATCCTGAGCATCATCATCAGTTTCCACGGCTACAGGTTTACCCTGAAAGGCCGTGCCTCGGGCCCCAGCATCCAGACCTAGGTCCAGTGGCGACGCCATCCCCAGATGCTTCTGCTCAACACTTCTGCCACTTCACCCCAAAATGTTTGCTCGCTGTCCACAGAGGTGAATCATACTACAGCAGCTAAACATTAAAACTAGCAACCTCACAAGCAAATGGATCAACTTCTTCCCATCTTGAAGTGTCTAACTAGTATTTTTAGGATTCTGGTATTAGAGCTGAATTGAAAATGCTGGAACCGTTTTTGCCTGAGAAAATGTCTTGTCTTCTGCACAGGAGCACATTGCACCTCTCCAACACGGCATGTAGAAGAAGGATGGCATGACAACACCTCGAGGACCACTATCAGAGTTGATAATGAGGTTGAGGCTCACAGAGAGGCTAATAACTACAAGGTGGGTAATGGCGATGTGTCTAGAAAACCATTTTATCACTAGAAACTGCATGTAAGCAGCATCAGCAATAAAGACCACTGCTTTTTTTTTTTTTTTATTTTTTTTTATGATATTTTTTTTTGGCTGCAGCTGAGTGCTGTCTGCATGGATCTGTTGTTTTCACGGTGTGTTTTTTCCAGTTTGGCTTCAGAAAATGGAAAGGCAACGTAACTGAGAAGCCAATTGAAGACCGCTCCGATATCGACAAAGAATTGCACACCGACCTTAGCATTGTAAAGCAACAAGGAGGTCCATTTTTAACCACTTTTTTTTTATTATTTGTTGATAAAATTTGCACACAGATTCTGTTCTTGCATAAAAAAATAATAGCTTGTGCTTTATGTTTCCATTCCTGCAGCTTCAGTGGTCACGTTTGGGAACATAGCTTATGTGTTTTTATTTGGCTGGTGGATTTCGTTGTTCTACATCCTCATTTGTCCCGTAATGTTTCTAACAATCTGCGGTGCTTCCTATGGTATGGTTTCTACAGAAAACTCCCAACACTCCGATTGTAATTCTTCATAATTGCAAATATTGTGCCTGTTTTGTTGCATATTTCAGGCAAACTTTGTTTCAAGTTGGCATGGTACTTTCTGTGGCCATTTGGGAATTCAATAGAGAAGGTACGATACTAAAATAAACTGAAAAGATCGTTCTCTTTAATTTTTTGTTTGTTTGTTTTGTTTGTTTTACGGCTCTAATAAAGACTGACAAAGATCTGCTTATGGACTTAAAATTTCAGGTCAGTGCTGTAAACAGAAGGACCACCGTGATGCCGACAAACTGTGAGATCATTCAACAAGAACAGGATGGGGGGGACTGTGAACCCCTTCTGGTATCTTCTCCTATAGAGCTCCACATCCCAGCTCTGCCTACAAAAAAACCATCAAAGCACTGGGTAAGACCAACCGACTGACTTAATCAGAATAAGCTTTATTATCATTGCACAGAAATGCATTGAGATTTTTCATACAGTCGTCCGAGAGATGAGCGGAGTGCACGTTGCTGCTGCTTCTAAGAGTGTGTTCCTTTGTTCTTTTCGATAGAAAAGGGGAAAGGCCATGAGGAAAGGATAGTGGTATTACAAAATAATCTCTTCACACCTTGTTCTTATCAGGACACACTTTAAGACATCAAAAGCAAGCACATTTATAACACATTGCATATGCATTTGACAGCAAGACAATGAGATTTGTCCATGAAGCACTTCCAGATAGCACCATAGTCCTGATAAGATGTTGGTGTCAGCCGGTACAGCTCTGATAAGCATTCACAGAAGTTCTCGGGGGTGGGGTGCAATAGAGCAGAGCCTTCTTAGTTTTCACACATCCCAGGAGAAATTTGATAAGTTGGCCTTCTTCAAGGCTGAACGGGGGAGTCGGATTCAGATAAGCCAGTTATTTCTCGTCAGCATTGAGTTCTGCTGGTACTTTCAATGATCCAAAATGGCCAGATTTGTGGGCAATCCACTGGTCCGTGCTCATTATCTCCCTCCAAGGTCGTCTCCAACATGATGGCAAGTCCCAGAAGCTGCAAGTGGCCTGCGATTCTCAGAAATCGCTTCCATCCTATGGTTGAGCTCGTAAATCAGCTGATTTTGCTTGAAGCACGAACCAAACCTTCACACAAGGTCTGCAGCTTTGTCATGGCCAAAACTGCTGCTGCCATCTTCAATAGCCGATAACATGGGTATCTGCCGGTGCCACAAAGCAGAAACTCTGTCATGCTTCAAATGATATAAACATCTTCGGTGTCGTCCTGAGATAATACGGAAAGGCATCAGCTTCCAAACCCCCCACGGATCCATGACGTACCCTGCCGCGTGCGTCTCAACGGGGCATGAGGGCTCTCCAGGACCCTGTCGCTTGGTTGAAATAATAATAATTTACCAACTGAAATATTTGTGCACTTGTTTACTGGTGTGTTTCTGCAGGGGCGAGTCAGTACCTACATTTGGTTGTTCCTGGGTTACCCCGTGCTGGCCATTGTCCACTCTCTTGCATGTGTTCTCTCCTGGCTGCTGGTCTTCACCATCCCAGTAGCAAAAATGAACGGTCGTGTCCTGACCACTGTCCTCCTTATGGCGCCTGAGGAAGTTCAGATCCACAAAGTAGACAAGGTACTGTAACCAAACATGATCACACAAATATACAGTTATTTAAATTAAACTGATTTCAGTAAGTTATCTTTCAGGTTTAATGCTATTAAAATTGGTTTACCTGAACTTTGGTTGTTTACAGTGAAACAGTTTTTACTGTATGTCCTTTTTTTCCACAGACAGTTGTGTGTGAGACCAGAGTCATCTTATGCTGTTACCAAGCTTTTAATATGTATTACTACAAATACACTGTCCAAGGAATCAACATTTTTGCTCTCAGTATCCTTTCAAGGTTGTTACGGGAAGGCTAGAAGGGAACAAGAATTATTATTTTTTAAGTTATCAGTATTAATTTTAGGTTTTAATTTTATGACTTTTAATAAAAATCTGCATTTTCATTGGCAACTGGACCTCTTGGTTTTATTCTTGAAAACGTTCCTCTACTTTCAGCTCTTTTTAAATTATGAAAGCTCAGCTAATAAACGTCTTCTTCAAGGAAAAACCAAATCAGTTGCCTTTGTTATAATTATGTATTTAAATGGCTCAATCTATACCAGCTTTTATTAGGAATTTTAATTAATATATTTAATTTTACTATGAGAATTCTTTTATATTTCTGTATTTTTGTTTTGCTTAACAATACGCTCCCTACAGACCTGCTGCCTTTGGTTTTTATGACTTTAATTATCGGCTACACTGACCGCGAGCATAAACATTTGAGTGCAGAGACCATGTTTACTATCGCCATTACTTCTATCATCCCCCTGTCCTACTATATTGGCATGGGAATAGCTAGGTAAGCTAACAGATAAATGATTTTAGGGACCGTCTACAAAGCACGGCATTTGCGCGTTTCTTTTAGATTACTTTTCTTTGGTTTTAATCATAGTTTGTCCTCTCTGCAGCATTTCTGCACAGAGTAACTTTGCAGTGGGAGCGGTGGTGAACGCTACCTTTGGCTCCATTGCAGAGATGACGTTTTACATCACTGCACTGCTGCGGGGGCATCGTGCTGGCAGCAAATGTTACGAAGAGATCGTCAAAGCTGCACTTACTGGGACGCTGCTCGGGTGTATACTCTTCATACCTGTGAGTGTCACAGACAGGTGAACATGTTTACACCTAACTGCTGCTGAAACTCATTCACAAACCTCTTGGTGGTGCTTTTTTTTTTTTTTTTTTTTTTTTAAATTGGACATCTGTGCAGGGGATTTGTATGACTGTTGGGGGCATTAAACACAGCGAGCAGAGATTTAACAGCCGTTCAGCCGGTGTGAGCTCAGCTCTGCTCTTCATATCCATCGGGGGTAAGCGTGGCAGTGGCTCACACCACAAACTTTTGTGTTTTTATGTTTCATGCATATAAACTTGACTCTCTTGCCTAGGTGTGTTTGCACCCACCCTTTTCTCAAAGATCTTTGGCAGTCTGGTGTGTGAAAACTGCTCCAATAACCTGGGCAACGCCAGCGCACCTTTCGTCTGCAACGACTGTCACTATTCCACGGTGGGCGGCTTCTTTTTCTACAGTTTAATGAGCGATTCTATGAAGTTTACAGAATAACAGGTTTTGTTTTCTGTTTATCACATGTATGATCTTTTGTTTGTTTCCAACAGAGTCAAACTGACTCTCATTTGATTCTGTCCAACATCGAGTAAGTCTGCCAACAGAATGAAATTCATGTTTGCAGCACAGTCACCTTCAGCAGTCATTTGAAAATATTTTCCAGGCCTCTTGTGTACACGATATCTGTCCTGCTGCCTGCTTCGTACCTGATCGGCCTCATCTTCACGCTAAAGACCCACTCCCACATCTACGATATTCAAATTAGCGATGGCCACGGGGGCCATGTACATGGTCAGTATGCACAGAAAGACCACACCTACGACCTCGGAGGATTGTTGAAATGGTGCAGCTTGAAAGGTGCCATTTGTCTCCAGCAGGTCACCATGTTGTGCACTGGTCCCGTTGGAGGGCTCTTGCGGTGCTGATCGTGGCCACCGTGCTGATGACGTGCTGCGCTGACCTTTGCACTGAAAACATTGAGCCCATTCTGACCCATTCCTCCATCTCTCAGGTTTTCAGTAATTGTTTGTTTGAGATTTCAGAAAGTCTCATTGTGTGTTTGAACTGGGATGCCTCCTGTTGTCCTGCAGTACTTCATCGGAGTCACTGTGTTGGCCATGGTGCCAGAGCTTCCTGAGATCGTCAACGGGGTCCAGTTTGCTCTGCAGAACAACATCAGCTTGAGGTTTGAGAACACTGCACATTTTAATTCAGAAAATATTACTGCTGCAATTCTAAAGAATGCAGCATGTTCTGGTAACCTTGTCAGATTTTATTAGAATAATATAAAAATGCTAAAAATGGGCTTGTATTTAGGTCAGACTGATTTAAACTGTTTATCTGTTTTTTTTTTCAGCCTTGAAGTTGGTAGTTGTATTGCCGTGCAGGTCTGTATGATTCAGATTCCACTTCTCATCCTTTTTAATGCGTTCTATGTAAGTATTCTTTGCTATTGCCACTCATCTATTGATGGATATATATATTGATATTGTCAGGCTTGGGTTGGGGAGTCTGATGCTTTGTTGTGTTACTGTATCTTAGATCTGTATTAAAGGTGGAACGTTTTAAAGCAAAAAGTCTTTTTTTTTCCTCATAAGATTGTTTTATGCTTTGTGCCTTTTTGATGAATCAGCATTTTGCAACCGTTTTTCCTCTTCAGGACGTTGGCTTTGTGCTGGTGTTCAGTGATATTCATCTTTGGGCCAGCATCTTCAGCGTTATTCTGGTCAATTATATCTTCATGGATGGAAAATGTGACTATTTTCAGGGTAGGTTTCATCTTAAAATGTAACTTTTTTTCCCCTCATTTTGCAGAGTTCAGTGATTTCTTTATAAAGCAATGAATCTGAATAAGTTACCCACAAACTAATGCATTTCAATGATTTTCCACCTGTAGATAATTTTCTGTTTTGTTTGCAGGCACAGCATTAGTGGCGGTTTATCTCATCATTTTGGCTCTTTACTACTTCGCTCCTTCTCCACGTTCTTGTTAATCTGCAGTGAAAAGAAATAATTTTCTAGTAATTCACTGTTTGTTTATGGGGTAGTTCAAAATTAAAGGCACAAAATGAGAATTAAGTTTGCTAATGTCAAAGCTGAACTGGGATTAAATGATTATTGTGCTGCATGGTGGTTTGCAAGCTTGAAAACGTTTACCTTTTTTTTTTTTTGTCATTTCTTGCTGTTGGATGTAAAAGTGAATCTTCAAAATTCGTGAATTATATCAAATGCAATAAATGTATTGGTTAAAAGTGTAATAGAGCTTGTATTTAAGTGTGAATAACCTAAACAGAATATTTTTTTTTTTTGCATTATAAACACAGAGGCTATTGACACTTTTTATTGATGGAACACAACATTCATAAAATCATACTGTACATTTTAGTGGAACTCTGTGAAACAGTTTTTGATTGTAAAGGTAAAAAAAAAAAGGCATCTTGCACAAAAAATGGAGAGAACAGGAAATAGAACGGGTAAACAAGTGAAAGTCTGATTCAAGTTTTGTATTTTGGGGCCGTCCAACTATTCAACAGCTTTTTTTTCTTCCTAAAACCAAACAGAGCATTATTTGGCATCAAACATTATCAGGTACTGAATATTTAGGAATAGAGCACTCGCTATGCTGCATTTATTTCTGAAGCTCCCTTAAAAACGTCTTCAGTTTTTGTCCAGGAAGACATTTTAAAGTAGTTGAACTATTACACTGCCTTTAATTTGTAAAATATCTGTAGGAGTTTTGAAAAAAGGCACTGCAGTGTGAACAAACGTTACTACTGAACCATCTCCCAGTGCAAAACAGTCGTCGTAAACAAAAAGGGGAGTCAAATAGTTCTTTACTGAAATAAAAACATTTTTAAGAGCACCTAATTCACAGTGATGACTGGTTCAGAAATAAAAGCTATAAATCAACAGATGAAGAAATATTGTATGGGGTGCTGTTTGTAAAGTTACAGTCAAATTAGCAATATTTTGGTTTATTTAGCCTTTTAATAAGATTTTTATTTAATTCAATCATATTTTCACCATGTTATTCATACATTTATAAATGTCATAATTCCAAACTAAATATTTAATTTAAAAGCTAAATATTTAGTTTAAACTACTTAACTTGCAAGTTAAATATTTAGTTAGCAAGCTAAACCGTTAAATATTTAGGTCCGAGCTACATATTTAGTTGGCAAATTATTTTGGAAATAAAATATATTGCTTGGAAAATAAATATTTAGATCCGAGCACAAGATTTGGTTAGCACGTTAAATATGTAGTTTAGGAATTTAAATATTTAGCTTCGAAGATAAAATGTTTAATGTGGAAATTAAATATTTAGCTTGGACAATATATTGTTTGGAAATCAAATGTTTAGTTTTGAAAATATTTAGTTTGGAAATATGACATTTGTAAATGTATGAATAACAACATGGTGAAAATGACTTTTTTTTTTTTATTCAATTTTTATGAAGGACTAAAAAAACCAAAGTATTGCTGTTAATTTTTGACTGTTACTTTACAAATGGCACCCCATAATATTATAGATGCTGACCTGTAACTTAAGCAAATGAGTTTTCCAAACGATGCAAAAGAAAATCTGTAGTGGGAAAAATTGCATCAATTATGCCAATGAAAAGCGCAGTGTTTCATGTTTAAGATGATTTACCACAAATAATCAAATACATCTAAAAGTTTTCAAAGCATGCAATAAAGTTTCCCAGCTCTTTATTCCTCCTCTGCACACTGGTATCAAGTGTTAAAAACCAGGAATTTTCCTGGGGATGGGAATTTGTTATTTCTATCACTGATAATTCACAACCTTCAGCAAGAAGAGTCCTTTTTAGTTAGAATAAAAATGTCCAAACTTGAAACATGGAATTAGAAAAATACTGTCTGGGCCCGTTCTTCAGACTGATTCTTGCTGCGGTCATCCATGCCTGTAAAATCTATTCACGTAAATATGAAAAAATGTGCAAAAAGCAATAACGGTTCATGGAAAAAAAAGCCAAATTCCTTCAAATAAATAAACATCCGTTTAACTATACTGAATTCTTGAAACTCTAAGAGGATGTAATTTACAAAAATGAGTTGGACAGTGTTTGACTTCTTGATTTGGCAAAATAAACTTTTTTACATGTCTGTTTTGTTGAAGCCTTGAATTTCAACTCTGTAAAAAGAGGTGGGGACATGGGGGGGGGGGGGGGGGTGCTTTGAGTAAAATCCATAAAACATTCCACATATATTCATCTTAACTAGAAAAAAAAAATAGAACACAAAAAAAGGCATCCCATTGTTTTTGGCTTTAAGGCGGGGCTACATCAGGCAGGAGGGTCCGAGTCTTATCCCAGAACCTGTTAAATCAGATTTTGTTTTCTAAGATCTCATCTTTTCGCTGTCCAGCCCAGCCTTTTCGCGACTCTCGTGTTTTTGCTCCTTTCGTGTTTTTGCTCCTTTCGTGCTTATTTCAAGCGTTCTACAAGCTCCTCCGTGAGGCCCAGGTTGCACAGATGAAAGGTGGGGAGAGAAGTCAGGTGGGGAAACGATTTGAGAAGCTTCTCCCAGCAAAGCTCCAGCAGGCTGGGAACAGCGAGCCAGATTCTAAACAGAGAGCCAGTCCTCTTGTTCTCATGGATGTTCACTACACCACCGTGGATGTACATGCAGCCAGCCTGGGGACAAAATGGTTTTAGAACGCAACAAAATCGGCAAACCTTCATGAAAATAACTTACTAGCTGGTGGGATCTGTGAAACATTTAGTGTAACTGCTTGTAGAGCATTAGTCTATTTTAATGTTTCAACCGTGGCATTTACACACAAATATTTGAATGAAGCGGTCATAACTGCAGCCCTGTTGGATGTGCAGTGCCCTATTTTAGATCTGTGTGCTTTCACAGAATGAACATGCATGCACACAATGATCCAAAATAAGGGAGCTAGAAAAACTTGGAGATGACTGAACTCCACTAAACAGGCAAGCACAAACTTAATTATTGGATTTGTTTTGCAAAAACATTTTACTTGCACTCAGTGGACAACAAACATCTGATGCAGGAAATTTGGTTGAATTAAAAAAAATGCAGCTGCAGTTGAAATCAGAAGTTTACATACACTATTTAAAGACATTTTTTTTCCACACAACTTTGTTTTATCTACGATCCAAACTGAAGGACCATAGTGTCTTATTGAAAGCAATCAAGTGCCTTTTTTTTTATTCTTGCACTAAAAACACTTGAATTATCTTTTTCCATTTGAATTAAATGATCAATCATTTACTAAACCAAAGGAGACAAGAGAACCAGTGCAACTCATTTTCTGTGCAAGCTGTGTGGATAGCTACCAATTTGGAATTCTGACCAGCAGGGGGCACTGGTTTTTGCCTAAATGAGACCACTGCTGACCTGTCGCATTTAGGACGAATCAACAGTACCCATGGTTTATTGCCTTTTTTTTTTTTTTTAACTATACACATGCAGTTAAACAGACAGAAAATGACTAGAAGCGTGCTAACCGGAGTAACAGCAGCACAGTGAAAGTAAGCTGGCTCAGGCATCTCTGCTGGTAGTTTACTCCACTGGAAAGTGTGCAGGTTGATTTTCCACAGATCCGCTAATATCAGTTCTCCGTTGTAGCCCCCGCAGATAAATACATCTACAACAGAAAAAAAAAAAGACCAAGTTGATGGGACACCTGGAATCACTTTTAGGTTGTAGTTGTTAATTTGTGAGACAAAATAAAAACACTCGTTTTAATAAAGTGAGACATTCGAAAACAGTTTTTTCTTCGTTATAGCTGTTCTTACCATTACGTATTTGGACACAACTATGGCATCTTCGAGGAGCAGGATACCCTGTCAAAAGCAGGTGCGTTTAAGAATAGTGTACATAACAACAAATGCTTAAACAACTATGTGTTTAGTGGTGGGTACAGACCTATCTTTTCATGAGGTTTAGTTGTAATCTCCTCCCAGGAATTTGTCTCTAGATTGTAGGCATGTATCTATAAAAATAAAAAAAAATACATTTTTAAATGTTTTTATTATTGCGCTCATGAAGAACTTTCATAATATTTGTGCCTGATATTAAGTCAGTTATCTGTTTGAGACATTTTTAAATAAAAATGTATAAAGATTTTAATTGTATTTGTCAAACTTCCACCAGTTTAGAGAAGGTCTAGAATATAGTCGTACCTTATCCAAAGGATATGATGTCCATGAAGTTCCCCCTCCCAAAATATAAATCCTCTGTCCATCATGTGCTATTTCATGTCTGTATCTGAGACACACGATACCAAGCTAGATCAGTAAAACATGGAAAATACATCCAGGTTGGCTTCTCTATTGCTCTCTTGAATCCTAACACCTTACCGTTCCTCAGGCAGGTCATCAGGAGGATTGTTGGGCTTGAGGTGAATCCACTCCCTGGTGGTCAGGTCCAGCCTGTGCAGGTCTGTGCTGTAAATGTAACCTGTTGTCCCCCCAAACACGTACAGGAAGCCATTTATAATGACCATTGCCTGCAGGAAGAAAGATATCAAGCTATGGTCTATTTGAAACTCCTTTGAGGGAAAGTCTGTTACAGTGCGACAGCATGGGATCATTGCTCTGTAAAGATGGCAAAGCAATGAAACTTTACTGCCACTTTTTTTACTCTACAGAAATGTTTTTTTGGTACCTGTCCATAGATTCTGTTAGGCTTCTTCCCTCGACAGTTGAGCAGCGACCATCTCTTGTACCTCACATTACAAACGTGAACGTCGTTGCCGTTATTCTCACCAAAAGGGATCCCGGTTCCTCCAAACACCAGAAGGTTGTTTCCATGCAAAACAGCTGAAGAAACACAGCAACAATACATGCAACTTTTTCTTTTTTTTTTTACATTTTCTGCATAGAAAACAAATGATAATCAAGGAGAAAAAATACATAAAACATTCAAGAAGCAAATGCATTTTACCTGACATGGATGCTAGTTCTGTGGGCATGTACCCCTCTGTGCGTATCTGCTGCCAGCAGCCTGTAGCAAAGTGGTACCTCCAAAGTTCCCTGAACAGTGGATAGTCTTCGTTCGCTGAGCCTCCCGACTCATCATAGTCAGGGTTATAACCTCCAAACACATATAAGTTAGCGTTGTCAGCGACACAGCGATGTCCACTGCGGGCAGGAGGGGTTCGATGACCTGAAGAGAGGAAAGCACTGCTTGAACAAGCGCTAAAGAAGAACATGCCGATAGAGATATGATGCAGATAATAAAAAGTGGCTGGTGGAATGAACTACACTAGTTGCTAAACACAAATATTGCTACAAATAGTTTACAAGATTGCAAAATCAATGACCAGCTAAAGTAACAAAACAACTCTTGTTCACTCAAAAAAAATCTGAACTCAGGTTTCAATATAAAAGGCTATCATTTAAACAGTGTAAAACTTTTAAACTTACGTTTCTGCATCATTGTAAATTATTTAAAAGGCAAAAACAATGAGACAACATAGGCCACAAAGTAATTATTCCATAATAAGGTTGAACAAAATGTTGATACAAAGAAAGCTGAAACATGTATACAGTTTAAATAAATGGGTTTGATTACAACTCTTTCCCAAAGACAAACATGATTGTCTGTAAAACTCTTTTTTTAATGCATCATTTATTTCAACATATTGCTTCAAAACAGGACAAATAAAACATGGCATGACATCTTGTTTTTATTCTTTGTCCCAGTCTTTAAAAAGTACATTATACTGCTTAATGTAACTACAGACAAAGTGTAAAAAAAAAAAAACATTACAAAATAAATGTTTTAAATAATTTCCACCAATTGCAAACACAATAATAGAAAATATTAATACAAATTTCTCCCTAAACTCAAACAAAAAACGCTTTAAAATCCTAGTAAAACATTACCTATATGATGTCAAATTGTATTGTTATCTAAACAAAATATGAAGCTATTTTAACATAGCTTGACTGATGCTAGCTTGAGTTGTGCTTTTGGGAGTCACTAATGGGAAAGGTTACTTCATAACAATCAAACGAGACATTAGGAACGTAAAAGATGATATTTGTAAGTTTAGCTGGTCAGCTGCGCGAAGTTTAAACGCGGTGTTGATAGCACATCTTGCTAATGTTGTTAACCGACCTGCTAGCATCGCTCCGTGCGGCGGCCTGCTGGACAGTTTCTCAAATTTATTCAGCTGGTCTGAAGTGTCAGCACCCTCCATGTCCGACATCGTTTTCGCCTTTACAAGTCAGTCCTTTTGGTTGTCACATCGAGAAAATAAAAAAACAACGTCAGCTAAAACGCAAATGTCTCATTTCAGATTTAAGGCAGGCTAGAAGCCGTTCATAAATGTTACTCCTACTTCCTGTCACAGATTTGACCAATCACCGAGCTCCTTACTAGGATGTTGCGTCATTGTTGCTTTTTTATTTATTTATTTTTTAATTAGAGTTCATGTGTGAAGACGTTCAGGGACCTAAAATAAACTTTGAAATCACACATTCGTAAAAGCTGAGAGTAGAAAAATATTCCAAATGTATTTTTTGGCAATTCGTTTAAAAGTCATCATACTTTTATATATGTATATATTTTAGGTATAAATGAAAAGAATACATAGCTGCAAAATTTGTAAATGAAAAAGAAATACGACTTCTTTTTTTTTTTTTTGCTTGTTTTTATTTTTTTATTAATACTACTTCTTTACATTTCGATTAACAAAAAAACGACCCACCACTCTTCGCAAAGCGGAACGACTTTTTTCGGGGTGTATTTTCCTGGGGGGAATCTCGGTGTCGACCATGGCTGCTCACGGTCGTGTTGGTAGTTCTAATCAACACAAGCCTTCTCTCGCTTCTCCAGAGAAAGTTCGTGAACTTCTTAATGCAGGAGTATCTTCGTCAGACCTCGGTCCAAACAGGTGCTTATATTCCAAACAAATGCATGCACTTAATGTTAACGTTACCATTAGCTTTTTGAGTTAGCTACCTAGCCTAGCTGCCACTTTCCTATCAGTTGAGACGAACATTTTGGAAAAAGAAAATATATTGATTTCATTTGAGGGGTTTCAGAATGCATGCTAGATATATTTGTATATTTTTATCCTTCTCTTTATTTTTTTCAGTGAACCAGGAGATTTAAAAGTTCTTGACGTAAAAAATAACACACCTTGCGAGGCAACGAACAAAGAAGCTTTTTATTCAAGAGTGGAATCATATTCAATATCCTTTTCTAATTGCAACCAACTACGAGCCATCCATGTTGTTTTTCAGATTGCAAGCATAAATTAAATGCACCCCATGTTGAAGATATTTTATTTAGGCTTACATATCTTCTGGTATTTTGAGTCATGTGGAAGTACATGTATATTTTTCCTTATTGTTTCACTGTTCGAAATGGACAGGCAAGCCACGCATGCTGTCTCCTCTGATGTGCGCGAGATATGGTTGGCTCAATGTTGGCAGTGACATGCTGAAGTGCTCCAGCTGCCAGGCTTTCCTGTGTGCCTCCCTTCAACCATGCTTAGACTTTGAAAAATGTAAGCAAAACATCCAGCTACAGAAAAACACTGTAAGACCTGAAACTATTCACTTGGACAGTGGAGCTGCAAGCGTAAGTTGAATGATCAACTATGTCTCTTATTTTTTTTTAAAGATGAAAGTAGAATTGCAGAAATATCTAGACAGCTTCAGACTAAGCATGAGAAGTTTTGTCCTTGGCCTGACTTTCCATGTCCAGGTAGGTGCCCCCATTTAGCTGCATACAACAAACATGAAACTACAGCTGAAGTATTAGTTCTTTACATCCCTGCCATTATAAAAAGCTTCTTGTTTTCAATCCAGAGCGGTTCTGGTTGGTTCCAGCTTCTGAACCCTCAACGCTTCTTAACGCACTTTTGGAGCGCTTCCAGAGTGCCTGTCTTCTTGCACAGCAGTTGCCAGCTATGAAGCTAGAACAACTAAAATTCATGGTAAAGTCTTATTTAGTACTGGTGTTTTGCATTTCAAAATACAAAAGGTGCTTAAAAAATGCATCACTAAAATTAGAAAAATGACAAACATATTCTACAATAATGATAATGTTATAAACAGCTGGTTTTCTATTTACCAAAATATTGTTGTTTTGTAGTCGTTGACAGAGGATGTTATCAGTGTTGTACTGCATCTGATTGAAAAAGAACAAAAAATAAAAGGAGGGACTCCATCCTCTGAACCTTTGGCTGTCCAGGTGGCTGCATGCATTGTTTCCCTTTGTGGCTGGGAAGCAAGGTGAGTTGACTCTCCTCTTATTCACTTTAGAAGACGAGTAAGAAACATGGAACAAAAACCTTTTCTTTAATCTTAGCTCAGCTCTGCACGCTATGAGCCTGCCCATCCTCACCTGCTCCTACTGTATGCGGAAAGTGGGTTTGTGGAACTTCCATCAGATAGAAGGGCTTGGAAGTGACGTAGAGGCATCACCAGACGCTACAGGACACTCCACTCAAGCTGCAGGACCTGCATCAGTGATCACTGATGATAGTCTGGGAGACTCTTCTGCATCTGCCACTCCAACCTCAACTCCATGTCGCATGAAGCTTCGGAGCCAGGACTCTACTCGCTCTGACCAGGCAAGCTCAAAGAATATTTATCAGCCAGAAACCTAAGACCATTTAGCTTTTTTTTTGGCTCTTTTCTATTACACGATACATTGAGGCTTTTTCCTGTTGTTTTCCACATGATCACAGCATGTGTGGTTCTGTAGTGGCAACAGATGCACAACTTTCCAGTGTGTTCATTGCATCAAACTGATTTAGCAATGTATTTGTTTTATCTGAAACTATTTCTAAGTTTGGGATTTTTTTGTGCTGGTTACAGCAAATAAACTTGCTGTGGGATTTTAGTGTAGAAGTGATTGAATATAATCTGATAGAGCTGATTAGTTTAATTCTTCTGGTTCATAAATATTTTTAATTAATCATGCACACAAAAGAGATATCTTTGAGTTATGTGGTAAATTGTATGTTCAAGCTTTTAAACGGCTTCATAAAACTTTAAATATCTGTGCCCCATCATTTTTCTATCTGGCAGTCTAAACTATTACCTGCTTTATTTTCCACTGAATACAGATTCTGTTCCTTGGTTCATCAATAAAAATTGTGATGTCATTAAAGCCACTCAATGACTGGACACATTTTTGTAATACTAGGTTTGTTAAATTGTTGTTATAACTGTAAGTTTGAAAAAGATTTAACATAAAAGTGCTTGAAAAATGTTACTGAATGGTCTTTTTTGACTTTTCATTTAAAGAGCTAAGTTCTGGTTTGGAAAAAAAAATCTATAAACCCATCCACGTGTATAATAAACATGCTTTTTTATGTATTATGCAGGACCCCCTATCTGATTATTTAGAAGTCTGCACTGCTCCCAGGTCAATGCAGAATATTGTGTGAAACCTTTTGTTGGAGCAGATTTTATGTGATACTACCTGAAACAAACAAACAAAAATCCACTGTGCCATGCAAATGGAAATCTCCATAAATGTTTTATGCCTCATCATTTTAATTCAAACTTTAAGACTGTTTGTTTACCATGTATTTATTTACGATACAGTGTGACGGCACCTCCTCTCCTGTGGCGTCACGTGCAAAAAGCAGAGACTCACCAACGCCCAGTGAAGAAATGCCAAGCCCTTCAGCCAGGGGCAAGAGACCCGCGACTCGTAGTCGAGGACAGGGAGAAGCCTCAGGGACCGATGGCGCTGCTGGTCTTCCTCCTAAACGCTTGTGCCTTTCATCTTCTGGTGGTCCTGTAAGAACTAACATTACTCCTGAATGAAAAATTTGCTTTCATTATAACACAAACCCCATATGTTAAAGTCTCCATGTATAAAATTGCTTTTATTTTGTTATATGTTATTTCAGGATGGCCCTTTGCCCAAGAAAGCATTTGACCCCCTCGCTCAGCACAGAGACTGGTGTCCCTGGATATCTGTGGGCAAAGAGAATGTGGATCCAGGGGTGGTTTCTATGTCGGATGACAGTTCATCGCTTATTCAGCAGGGCTGGAAAGCTGCTCTCGACCTCCTCTTGCCCACAAAGATTAACTCCGATACACAAGGAAGCAGTCCAGCACAGGCACGTTAAACAATTGTTTTCATATTCTCAAAGAGTCTTACAGCATTAACTTAATTTTTTATTGTTTTCTTTCCTGTTAGGGCCCTCGTGACAAGTCTAAAAGGGTGTTTGCTATATTACGCCAGTGGCAGGTGTCCTCCTCTCCATCTCAGTAGACTGTTTAGAACCAAGCAGCACTGCAACATTGAATTGAGGAACTGGTCTACCTTCTTTAAGTGGTACAAGATCCATCTCACCAATAAAGAGAGTGTCATATATTATTAATGTGTGCCATCCTTTGAAATGTGTTTACAGTCAAAAATGTTTTGTAAGGGGATTCAAGGTGTGTCTTTTATAAAATAATGTGAAGGATGCTTGTGGAATTTGGGAACATTTGAATTTTGTGACTTGGAAATTGAGATTTTAGCTTACGAAGCCTGGAAAGACCTTTTATTTTGTGTACACGTATGCAGTCCACAGGTAATAGAACCTATAGGGTACCAGTAGCACTTGAGAAAAACTTCACATTAAGACTGCTACAGCTATTCTTAAGACATCATTGTTGTCTGTGTTTAATTTTAAATAAGAGGCAGCGAATCTCTGATTGTGAAAAAGGACCAGTTGCCTCAACACTGGACAGTCATTTGCAGGAGTGGTAAACGATTAGAAAAATAAACTGTGAGCAAATAATTTGTTTCGAATAATTTTGCTTTACAGCGAGATAGATTTTTCTTTTTCTCTAGTTTTTTTTCTTTTTTATTAAGGGTTGCTGGCATCTAAAACCTTGCGCCAGATTAATTAAACCTGCAACTCTCATTGCCTTTACAATCCTGTTTTTTATGTTGCATGTTTGTTTTTTTTCTCTTCAAGAGTTTAATAAACTGCTCTGCTGAATGTTTGTTTATTTTGCATGTTATCCCTCTAATATTTTATACAAAATAAAATTAATAAAATAAATTAATAACATTTAGATATGATTGAATGCTAAGTTTAATTGCTGCTTGCTTAAACAACTACGCTGGCATATGAGAAGGCTATTTCATGGTGTGTTTCTTGGAAGCTGGTTTTATATATACTGGTAAACCGGTTTCTCATAAAGAATCCTCGTGACTCATTGAGACTAACCTGTATAAAGAAAGGTTAAATGAATATTTATGGTTTCTAGTGTTTTAAAATAATTCATAATGGCAAGTTGGAACACTTCCTGTGTTGTAAAAGACACTTCTAAATGTCTTTCTTTACATTATATTGATTGGTAGTTTACCACATTATTCACATTTGAGTAAAGCCGTTCTTTGACATTGCTGTCAGCCTGACACAATACCACAAGTGACGATGAATCTGAACTATAAAGTCTGTATTGGTGGTTATTGGTCATCATATGTAAATACCTAAAAAATTGTTTTGTGTTAATACCTGCTGGATTATGAGCAGTTATGCAGGTAACTCAGTGGTCACATAAAAACAAGACAGGCTAAAAACAAATGTCTTTTTTTGAGTAAACGTGTTGTCATTTTGAGGTTTTCTATCCATTTGTGCTCGTTTATTTTGTGTCTTGATTGTTATGGCTATTTGGTAGTCATATATTTTTTATTTTTTAAATGATAATTTTAAAGTTCAAAGTCATATATATATATATATATATTATTATTATTATTTTTTTTTAACTGTACACACACACACATACATACTTATATACAAACTACAAGCATGGCCGTACATAGATGCGTTTAGTCGCACATATATGACGTAGGTGGCGGAGGGATCCTGTCTTGTCAGAACCATGGCACAGAGGAGATCTAACGTATAGCTGCTGAGCTACCCATTAGGACAGGGACACATTTAACAGTGAGGACGTGTGAACGAGTTTTTCTTCAAAAGCAAATGTTAACTTTCGGATAGTACCGTTTGCTAGACTGTCCAGCGTTTCGGGTGCTGGCTTTCTGCTTACTTTCTGGCGTTCTGCGGGGGAAATAGCAAAAAATGTCGTCTCCAAGTCCGGGTAAAAGGCGAATGGATACCGATGTGGTGAAACTGTATCCTTTTTTCTGAACATAAACAACCGTTTATGTTCCGTCAGATGGTGTATGCGGATATTATATTTATATGTATGAGCTATGTATGCTGCTGTTGGTTTAATATTAGTCTGTGTATCTCAAAACAACCAGGGTATCCACTGTGAATTGCTAATGTTTTGACAACATTTTGCCTGCGAACCTTCAGTCGCTTATCGGACAACTGTGTTAGCCAATCAGATCGTTCTCGGGCTCTTTTAGCATTTTTCTAGCACAATATGTACCAAACGTTACAGCTGCTTAGTTTGTCTGCGTTTGAGAAATAACAGCAACAGTCGGACAGACGCTGGCGTTATATTGTTCGTTTTATACCCTTTAATTGAGATAAGGTTGCATCGATACCCTATTATAATTTGGTTTCTTTGTCCAGCGTGTGATATATTTAGGGGAGTTGAGTCAAACTGCCCCCCTCACGTTTATTTACACAGGAGCATGTTTACATAACGTCATTCTAACCGAAAAGCTGCTCTCTTTTGTTCTTGTATACATGTTAATGTTGTCCAAGCGACATTCTGAGGCTACATTAGCCTCTCTTTGTCATTTATTATACTGAGGTTTTTGCAGTTGTGTTTTGTTATTCTCTGCTTGTGTCTTTGAAACGCTGCTGAGCTTTGCTAGGTTGCCTGTTGGGTAATTTCGAGATCAAAATGGCCACCTGATCAGTGTTTCTCACAGTCTTAGGTGTATTTGTGTAAGAAAATGCCCACTGGTGTCGTTTTAGAGCGGGGGTATTTTATGTTTTGAAATGAATAGGAGTTCCTGAAGTGAGTTTTTATGATTTTTTTTTTTCTGCTTGCCTTTCGTTTCACGGCGCTTGAACCAAGAAGCATCCAGTCTTGTGTTCAACTTGTTTGTTTTTGTCCTGCTGATGTGTTTGTTTGCTTCACGTCGGGCTGACGTGGGGAGCAGTGGAAGGGGGGGGTGAGTGAAGCACAACACGTTTTGTCTGTCCACATGACATGTTCTTGAACAACGGCGTGAGCGAGAAGTTTTGTTTTTGTTCCAGCTCTGTGGAAACCTTGTTAAGTGATTGGGTCGCCTGTTACCAGCCGGAAACCACAGGAGGGCGGGGCTTAAAACAGCTGATGGGACGGCAGCACAGCTAAATATGGGGGTTTGAAGTGAACTGTTACAGATGAAGTTTGTCCAAACAGGTTGAACGGAACAGAAAGAAATGTTGTTGTTGGGTTGTTTTGGTGGTGGTGGTGGGGGGTACAAAGTCTTGCTTACTCAGACTTGTTATAATCAGCTTGCTTCTGTTAACACAGTCTGACTCGCTCTATCCCATTAGCCAGGGGTGTCCAAGTTGTGGCCCGCAGGCCATTTGTGGCCCTCTGTGTCATTTTATGCGGCCAGAAGTTTTAGTTCTTTTTCTTCTTCTTTCTGCTGTTCCCTTCTTCAGAGGTCGCCACAGTGAACTAAGTCACACGAAAACTTAGTTGTTTTTTACGCCGTCAACCACAGACCACCGAGCTACCACAGCCCTCTGTGTGGAGCAGAGAGCTGCTATCTAGGGTGTCCAGGGGAGCAGATGGTGGGGGTTGAGCCTTGCTCAAGGGCCCAGAGTGGGGCAAATGAGGGTGGAGTGGGTGCTTCACCAATCCCACCTACATTTTGATGTTGTCGGTTGAACCGACGATCTTCCGGTCACACGATCACCTTCTCTAACCTCTGCACCACCACTCCCTTGATGCAGATGGACATTTTTTGTAAATGTTATTGTATCGCCATGTTTTTTTAGCGGGGGAAAAAAACGTCTAAAAAATATTTATAAGTTGTGCAAGTACAAGTGTTTTTTTGTCTTTAATTTACTGTTTTATTTTTCTTTTTGATATTTTTATTCTAATTTGAAGGAAAACATGACAACACACCTTTACTTTAACCAAAAAGGAAGTTTTTGAGTAACCATTCATGACATTTTTATTTTTTTAATTCAACCTTTCAACCTCAACTTGGCTCAGCATAGCATTCAGGAAAATTGGACTTTGTTTGGGAAGCATGAAATTTGCAAATTTTCCGTGCAGTTAGATCACCATTCTCAAGACCCTTCTAACCTGACTTTCTACGGATCATTTTTAGCAACTGCTAGCTGCTCACCTTTTCAGTGCTTTGTCAACCCTTTTAGAACAGGTCATGTGAGACCCAGGTCTTTTTCAGAAATCAGATATTCAATGTTTTTCAAAGGGACTGCAGTTTGAATGATCTTGTCGCTTTTCATCCGACTTTTACGTCGCTGAGGTAGTAGGGGTTTGTGGATCAATCCAAGTATTAATAATAATGATGCCAACCTGGTGCAGTTTAAGTCTTGGGACTCTGGACGTCTTCAGCTACAGAGCAAATGTCCAGTTGCTTTGTTTTTGTTCTTTTAATTTGCCGTGTCCTGGATGATTGACAATCTACAGCAACGCTATCAATACTAACGTGATGGGATCGATACTTGAGGTGTTTTTTGTTGTTGTTTTTTTTACTTTACAGCCGTCAAGAGGCCAGATTAAATATAAACACTAGACCAAACATGCATGTCTGATAATAATGTGTTGCATCCATAGTTACCTCATCAAACATCACGTCTTCTGCGCATGCGGGCCGCCTCAGAACTGTTAAAGGTTCTCTGGAGTCTGATAGAGGTCATTTTAATGGTAATGTAAATCTGATCTGAGCAAAATGTCAGAATTGAGCGTTAAGACCTGCTGTGTGAACGTTGCCAAAGGGTCTACAGCCAGGCCACGCAAACCCTTTTAAATAAAGTGACTCATTTTATGCGTTTGTTCCAAATAATAGATTAAAACTTCTTTTCCAGGTACAAGAAAACCAAAAATAATACACCCAACATATAGGAATTAAATTTAACAAGGTTGAGTCAGGTCCTCTGCACAGATTCTTCTTTGTTGAAACGTTTTGTCTTTTTATGCTTCAGACGGGAACAATTTAGAACTTCTTTTCCATCAGATTAGGTATATGTTTGTCCTTCCTCTAAAATATTCTGTATTTAGGTTGTTGAGAGTTTAAAGAGGAAAAAAAAAAACGCAAGCGTTCCACTTTTTAAAAAAAAATTTTTAGTGGCCCGCAAGTTCTCTCATTATTTTTGTCCAGAGGCATTTTGCCACATTTATCTGATAGAAACTGAGCTTGTTTGAGCAAGTTGACGTTTCCTCTATTTTAAACCACTCACTGTATGTAGGCTATGACAATTATAACCGACTAGTGAAATTATTTTTGAATTATTTTTATTATTGTTGCATCACATGAAGCCTTGCAGTTGTAAACCTACTTTTAGCTACTTGAGTGACAGGCTGGAGCAGATTTGTGTTGTGCCAGCTGCTCAGTTCTGCACCGTCCTGTGCAGGAACATTGCGTTTATGTCGGAGCGTTTGAAACAAACGGCGAGCGTTGATTAAGACGAACGTGTTTAAACGTAGGTCTGTCGTGTTGGGTTGTAAAGACAAAAACAGAACGCGCGTTTCTTCTCTTTGGGATGGCTTTTTGGGAGGCTGTGGTTGGTGAATACTCGGTGCTGATACCTTTCTGTGCGTCCTCTCCCGAGTGTAACCAAACCCTGAAACTCACACGGCGTCTCAGACCGGAGCAGCTTCAGAAAGGCTTCACAAATTAATTTGTGGTCACTGGAGAGCTGAGAATCTAGAGCGGCGAGCATGTGGTGGGGGATTGGTGTTCATGGATCTCAGAGTGACCTCCATATGTAGAGTTGCTGCGTTTAAGCCTTGTCCTAAACTACACCGTATACTGCACTTTGCTTTTAGCCACGTCTCGATGTGCGTAAGCTTTTCGCCTCAGCTCTTTGTACAGTTCTGATTTGGTGCGGCGCTTCTTTGTGCGCTCATACTCCCGTCCTGTCCTCACACAAATCTGTTGCCCTGAGCAGCAACACGCAGCCAATTTGAATTTCTAAACTTTACATTAGAATAATTCAACCTGCAAAACTTGTCCATTTGGTTTTTGCTTTTACTCTTGGGCCTCTTTTGCTAAAACATGTTTTTACAGAGCGTGCCATGTCACATAGTTTTACTTCAGCTTGCTGTGTGAGGTTAACTGCGCACGCTTTTTTTTATTAATGTTTACTATCATGTGTTAATTAGGTGTTAATTATAGGTCACTTACAAAAGTTATTTCAAACGGTAAGCTGTTGAAAATCTATGTAATTAACGTTGCAAGGCTCGTGCTGTTGAGAGGGCACTTCAGAAAAACGGAAAAAGAACCTGCAAAAATTATCTGTTCGCATATCACAAGATGTCACGCTCTAAGTATGAGTTGTGTATTATTCTCAGCTACTACCACATCAGATTTTTTCAATATTTATAAATCTGACTAAGTTATAGCCTTTATGGACTAGTGTTGTGACCATCTCGAAACGGATCGACTCCAAAAAGTTAAGCAGTTGTGTATGCACGTTCAACGATTATGTTCTGAGAGTTTCTTTACAGTTTGATCAGGGCTGCACGAGCTATTTTGCTAACAGACAAACAAGTCTAACAGTTAATGCTAATGTTTTAAGCAAAAGTCTTGCACAGTGAGTAGCATTTGTAAATATCTTTCTGCTACAAACACCACATTTTCTTACAATATCTGCAACATTTAGTTTACTTCTTATGGCCATTTTTGTGTTTACTAAAATCATTTAGCTGCTTCAATGATCTGTCGGCTCCAAAAGTGAATTGGTTTTCAGGATTTATCCAATTTTAAATTTTCTGACGTCCATTAAAATCTTTCTAGTGATTGATGAGCGATCGGGCAGAAGCGACTCTAAATAGTTAATGGCGGAGTGAACTGTCTGTTAGTGCTCAGAATATGCACGGGATCAGTCTTATCACCAAATTTTAAATAAATATCTGTAAAATTGACTATAGTCTGTTGACTCGGCTCCATTGGCTGTGGCAGCCATCTTGAATCAGCGGGCAATAATGAACGGAGTTTTAGACATTGTTAAATGAGCAAAAGTTCTT